TATTATGGCTACATTCGTAGTACCACTACAAAAAACCGAGGGCATCAGTAGGTGCCTCATATTTAAGGTTACACTATCTACAATTGTATATCCTTGGCATTGCCTCTATTAAATAAAACACTATCATCTTTTATGACCCATGCAATACCAAGAGTAATAGAGGAAATAAAGGAAAGAGTTGTACAAAATGACCTACGTATATGCTCTTGTTACAAATGTAATTTTATGGCAAATGACCGTGATAAAAGACAATATTAATACAGGATTTTAGACCTCAAAAGGGTTTCAACAACTAGCGGTTCGGTTTATTGACAGAGCATTTAATAAGCTAACAATGAAAGAAAGCGGGGATAAAATATAACCAAAAACCAAAGTGCATGTTAACGAAACCGATTTTACTGCGGAACCACTGCTGTGTGAAGCCGGGAAACAGCACACAGCCTTTGGCTAGCCACAAGCTAACGCTAATCTTGCCGTCTACGTTAGTTAGCTAAGCTAACCGGGTTAGCAATCCCGCTAGCTTGGCTAATTATAATTTTGAATTCCCTGTTATAATAAATAATTTAAGAAACTAGGTGGCGCTAGAGTTAATATGTTTGTATGCTTGATAAAATCCCATCAAAGACATTTGTTGTTATCTAATGATAAGAATCTAGAGGTATCGGGAAATATCTTCTGAATGGGCATGCTAACAAAGGTAAGGCGCCCATTCAAAGGCTTAGGCCGTGCTGAAACTCTCCGCCCTGACAACTAATATGAACCTGCAGCTAGCGTTACGTTCTGCAGCCAGAAACAACGGTTGCTATATTCAACAGCAGCGCAGCAACAAAGATCCCCAAACAACTTACACACCGTGACAGGAAAAATAAATAGACAGGGTGAAACTTACCATCGCTGCGTTTTATCTCCACATAGGTACCAACGACTATCTTCCCAAAGCCAGACGCCATTCTACATCACTTAAAAATGAACAAATACAGGACTAGAGACTTATTGTAAGCCGAGTAAAATCAGCTTCTTTGGCAGTCTTTGGTTTGGGAGGAAGATGCAGTCAGTGGCAGCATTACGCATTACGTCAAGTGCATTACGTACCTACCAAGAATTGCAGTTTCTTTCCGGTCAGCTTTTTCAAAATAAAACGGTTATGCGGCTCATAAAAGCATTGCATTTACTACAGTGTTTATAATTGTCATTTCTTTAATCATAGACTGTTCCTGTAAAATATTGGATTTCCTATTAAAGTTAATTGAAAAACTATTACTTTTACTCGTACATTATCACTTTGGGTGCAAACACACCATAATAAATATATTATAGCTATTATAGGCTGTTGTAATTGACTTCAAAATAAACAGATGTTAAGATTAGTTTCCTCCTAACCAACTCAGTCATTTAAAATGGTAGGTAATAATAATAAATGCTAATTTTTCTGTAAAATGAGCACTTACATTGAGCTCATGTTTCAAATATTTGATACTAATCTTAAAATGCAATAAAAAATACATTTAATGACGTATATAAACATATATGACATAAATAAATAACTGATAATAACTGATAACTAATGCATTTTTTTTGGTATGAACAAAAATCCCTCTATTGCGCAATTTATGCTGCAGTGGATGCAGTATACCACCTGGTGGTACTACTGCTCTAATAGGTCCAGATAAGATGCATCACAGTTCTCTGACCTCTTCACTACGTACGCAATGTGGAAAAGATGCAAAGAATTTACCTTCGACATTTATGACGTTTTATGTGTAAACCTCTAGGACTATCACTAGGATATGGAGAGGACCAGCACACCCAACAGTCGTCATTTACAAAAAATGAAAAAAAATATTACTTGCACTTTGCATAACACTGAAACTGAACTAAAAAAAATGTACAAAACACTTTTTAAAAAACACAAATGTTAATGAGAAAGAACAATGAAACCACAGCTCTCTATTTCTCAACAGCATTGCATTGTTCTTCTAATCTACAGTACTGTGCAAAAGTTTAAACTGGCCCCTCATTTTTTTATATATATATTTTGCCAGACTTGAGTCTTATTTTGAGCAATTTTGGTCTTTAGCAATATTTTACAGGCATTTTTTTCAGTTCAGTTCTCGTACCTGATTCTCAGGGGATTTTTTTATGTTCTTGTTTTTAAGCCACAACCAACCTATGAATTACTCAAGAACAAAAAAGAATGCATTCAACTTAAGGAATGACTCAGTTTTGCGTCTACACATGACGAACAAGTTAGAGATGTAACATTATCTTTAGATGCTTTGTTACCAGCAGCCTGTCAAAAAGAAAAACATCATTTGTTTATACAAAAAAATGCAAAAGAAAACATAGTTCGATGGGCAGAAGATAGTATTTTTGCATCAGAGATCAATTCTCAAAGAGCTATTAACTGAAAAGCACTTGCTGTGAACTGTATCTTTAAAAAAAAAGTAGGAAAGTGGACAAGTGGAGGACAAAAGCACAAAAGGAGAAGTTGCAGGATTAAGAAACTATTTACAGCAGATGAAGAATATTGAAAGTCATATCTTAAGAAACAGGACAAAATAACACCAAAGTCCTGAAACAGAACCTGAGACACGCCTCTGACCCTTCAGTTTATCCATCTTCTATTCACTGAAATCTACTCTGAAATGGTCTCAGTGGGAGGGTGGCTGTAAAGATGTCATACTTAAAGAAAGAAAAGGTTGAGGCACACCAAATTACAGAAGAACTAGACTGAAAATCTGTAGGTCTGATGGAGTGATGAATCCAAATGAGAATTTTTGGATATCAAACACACAATGGATTACTATTACTATGGCTTCCCCAGAGCCCGGACGTCAGCATTATTGAGGCAGTGTTGGATCATCTTGACAGAGAACAAAAGAAAAGGCCTCAAGACTTTAGCACCGTACTGTATGGGCAAAAACATTTGAACTCAAATGTTAATGAAAAAGAAGCAACAGTAGGTCTCAAGAAATTCACTGTGGCAATAGAAGACGAATCTTTGCTGGGTTGTCTTGTATACTGGTGTAGTACTGTATGTATTAACTATTTTTGTTTTTAAGGGACAGTCATGACTTGGGCCTGCAGTATGCAGATGGTCAAGGCAAAGACACACTGTGACTACTGGGGGTCTGGTGGAGATAGTGTCTATCATTTAGGAAAATGGCATTTGTTGCAAGGCTCAAAGTGGGATATGAAGTCATGCTGCAATAATGCTTGAGGGGAAGCCATTTAAGGTTGAACGTACCATGTGAATCGTCTTTTGAAAATTTTTGAAAGGACTGGTCTTTTAAGCAGGTACAAACCCATTTTAACAGAAATATTAATGATACAAAAAAGAAGAAACAATAAACTGCTTTCAAACACACTTTTTCACCCTATCATCCACATCAGACAGTTGCTGGTGAGTTCGGAGGTCAGTGCAAATATAATTAGTATCTCTTTCCCCAACACTAACAACATTATTGATCTTTCCTCTGGTCTGAGTCATGTATCAAAAAATGTCTACACAGTTCACAGATGGAGTTTAACACATAATACAGAGCATGAAACTGATGTGCTGCACATGGAGTTTATAGTTACTGCTAGATTTGAATTACATTGAGAAAATGCAATTACATAAAACCATGATACACTATAAATACAAAACTACAATATATGCCCAAAATAGAGAAATTATTTCCAAAAGTATGAATAATTGTGAAATGATATCAATAAAATGCTCGCAGCTGTCTTTTTGATATGCATGTCTACTTTAAAATCCAATCCAAAGCAAACTGATTTAAGGCTCAAAGCAAAAGGCAGAGAGGCAGCGCCAGAGGTTTTATGAAGATGAAGGCCAGACAAGGTAAACATTTGAACACAATGGCCTGCATGAGTTGATCATAACAAAATAAGTAAGCGGAGCCCCACAATACCACTGTGGGAAGCTGAACGATCTGGTGATGTTGGAGAGGACAATCCGGTCTTAAATACTGCAGTGGTGATGAGACAACACAGTTGTGTCAATAACCACTGCAGCTGCTGAGACACATGCTTCTCAAAACCTCCAACCAACCACTGAACCTGGGACAGAGTAGGTGGAGAGAAACAATGAGGGTCACTGGTCTTCAGGACAATGACAACTCTTCTTAAGACATATTTTTATCATTAGGCGTGTGCGTGCCTGCTCTCAATTTTTTCCATGTAATTTGCAGTAATCATAATTTCTATTTTAGATGTTTTGAATTTCTCAAAGTCTTCACAGATTGTTTTCTTTTTGCGTACTGAATTGTGAAGCCAGAGCGCTTCTTCATTGGAGCGTCACAAAATGGAAAACATCTTGGGACCTCTGTTGGGTGTGTGTGTGCTGAGAGGATACCAGCTGCAAAAAGTTATAAAACCATCGATGGGACATGCAGCACAGCATTGGACATTTTTGAGAGAATTGCTGAAAACCATTTGAGCGCACATTCAAAGGATGTAAACATACACTCACATTTACACTTGTGAGTCTTTCCACCTTAAACCCTGAACTCTCCCCCTAACCATCAAAACTAATTGCTTGATTCAATATCTAACCTTATGTACGTGCTCTTTCCAGAAGCTACCAGTTTCCACCAGGATC